CCGAGCTGTGGCCGGTTCCGGTCATGGTGCCTGTGCCCCAGGACAGGCAGCAGACCCGCTGGTCCCGTGATGAACCACTCTTCAGCCGATGGGCCGCAAGTCACGGTCGCACCCGGGCCCTCCCTCAAGGGTCCTGCCTGTGTGTCGCCCACTTATGCTTCCCAGCCATTACCAGCCTCCTCAATGAAGTTGTGGTCTCGCCCTCCCACCACAGTGGTCAGTCGGCTCTTGTCCAGGAGGGCGTGCGTCATTAGGACCCTTGTCAGGACCCGGAGGAGGTGGTTTCTGGGATAGGAGGCTTTTCTTCCTGAAACACCAGATATCCGTCCTGTTGTTTATTCAGTTTCTCCTTCCCTATTTGTCACTCTGCTGGCGGGATTTTTTTCCTGTGTACATCAAAGGCCAGATGCTTTCTAACCCCAGAGCTCATTTTAAACCCCTTAATTTATTTTCCTTCCTCCACGTATGGATCGTGCACACTCTCTTTTTTTCTCTCTCTCTCTCTCCCCTTTTTTCTCCCCCTCCTCCCCCTTTACCCTCTCCCGCTATGTCTCAGATTCCTAAAGTGAGGGTCAGAATATGTGGTCTCCTATCCCCCACCACCACGTTTCCTACAAACGTTCTACAAATCAGTTCCTTGTTTTTTAAGTAAATTTTTTTTAACGTTTATTTATTTTTGAGACAGAGAGAGACAGAGCATGAACGGGGGAGGGGCAGAGAGAGAGGGAGACACAGAATCGGAAACAGGCTCCAGGCTCTGAGCGGTCAGCACAGAGCCCGACGCGGGGCTCGAACTCACGGACCGCGAGATCATGACCTGAGCCGAAGTTGGCCGCCTAACCGACTGAGCCACCCAGGCGCCCCAGTTCCTTGTTTTTAATAGCGGTAAGATTCAACCTAAGCTCTCTACCGTGCCAAATTCGTCGGTTTTCTCTGAGGCTGCACTGAAGAAGCAAATTCATTCGTTTGGTATGTAGTCCACCTTTGGTATCTATCAGGTGCCGAGGTAGATCCTGGGACCCATTTACGCAGAGGACAAACAACCAGGCCCCTGCCCTCACGGCCCCGGCACTCGGGTTGGGAAGTCAGATGTTAGAAGAGGAAGAAATGTAAGTGTTGGGTGTTGTAGATGCTTGGGAGGAAGCGATTCAACCCGACAGGGAAGGAGACGCTCAGATAGACCTGTCAGGAAAAGCCTCTCTGAGGAAACCATCTTGAGGAAGTGATATGGAGGTCATGTTATTTGAAAGAAAGCCTATCATACACGGAGCCGTGAAAAGTACTTTATAAGCTCTGAGATGTCACCTTGCCAGGCAGTGGCCCCTCCAGTGCCCTGCGCAGCATTTTCCCAATTGCTGGAGCTAAACCTTGACGGTAACCTCCGTACTTTTCTGGCGAACCTCCATTTTGTTCATCCAGATCCTTCCGAGTCTTCCTTCTCTTTTGTTTCTGGTTTGTGCCGGTCTAGTCTCGGCGCCTGTCATCTGTCCCCCATCTGTGACGCTGTCTTCCTTATGCCGACTCCCAGTCTTCTCTGCCATCATCGTTCATGTTCTGCCGTCCAGCCGCCCTGACCCTGCGGCCCACCCCCAACCCCCCACTGCTGACTTCCCTTTCTGAGATGCCCATGCTTCTAAAACCATCTCAGCTGTCCTAGGCTGCTTCCTTTCGTTGACTAAACCACCTGCCCTTCCTGATATAAACAACTTCTGACCCTCACCTCCAGAAAGAGGGGATAGACTGGAACTGGCTGGCACAGTGCTTAGCACGCAGGAAGCTTCCAGTAAATGTTCGTTGACTAACGCGTGAATGCACCGATTCCGGAAATCGCGGCCTGTCTCGTGGTTTTTTCCTTAATCGCATGTGAATTCTTTCCTCGCATGGGAAATGCATGTTAAAAAGCTCCCCCTTCTTCTGTATCGGGTACCAAAATCCTACCTCTCCTCACAAGATTTTTATTTTGAACCCACTCTCTCCGTTTGCCATCACGTGCGACTTTGTTACTGATCCCAGAGACACGAGAGGCGCCAACGGTGTCCCTGAGATTACTTGTACCGTGTTCAGCACCCCGCAGGGGCACAAGCCCAGAGTATTTAGTTGGCACGTGTTTATTTACGAAGGACCACAGCAGTCGTGGAAATACTGGTTGCCGTGGTGATTTTTAGCACCCTGAATAACCGAATGCATTCACTCGGGTTAAGCAGAAACTTTCAGAGGGAAACCTTTACATGAAGGAAGTTGCTGTGCTTCCAGCTAAACAGCAACTTAAAAGCAGGTTCCTTGGAAGAAAAATTCCAGATGCGGCCAGAGTTTGGTGTCAGCCACTTTGTGTGAGACTATTAATTACTAATGGCAATAATAATTTAGTGTCAGGCAGCCTTTTGAGATTTTTTTTTTTTAATTTTTTTTCAACGTTTTTTATTTATTTTTGGGACAGAGAGAGACAGAGCATGAACGGGGGAGGGGCAGAGTGAGAGGGAGACACAGAATCGGAAACAGGCTCCAGGCTCCGAGCCATCAGCCCAGAGCCTGACGCGGGGCTCGAACTCACGGACCGCGAGATCGTGACCTGGCTGAAGTCACACGCTTAACCGACTGCGCCACCCAGGCGCCCCATTGAGATTTTTTTGAAAACAAACGGAATATTCACATTTCATTTGTTTACTTATTTATTTTTAAATATAGTTTATTGTCAAGTTAGCTAACATACAGATATCGCTGTGCGCTCTGGGCTTCGGGAGTAGATTCCCATGATTCATCGCGTACATACAACACCCAGGGCTCACCCTACCAAGTGCCCTCCTCAGTGCCCATCACTCATTTTACCCTCTTCTCCTGCCCTCAGTTTATCCTCTGTATTTAAGATGTTCTTGGGGTGCCTGGATGGCTCAGTCGGTTGGGTGTCCGACTTAAGCCCGGGTCACGATCTCGTGGTTCGTGGGTTCGAGCCCCACATCAGGCTCGGGACTGACAGCTCGGAGCCTGGAGCCTGCTTCACATCCTGTGTCTCCCTCTCTCTCTCTCTGTCCCTCCCTCACTTGTGCTCTGTCTCCCTCTCAAAAATAAATAAACATAAAAAAAAATTTCAAGAGTTTCTTACGGTTTGCCGCCTTCTCTGTTTGAAACTCTTTTTCCCCCCTTCCGTTCCCCCATGGTCTTCTGTTAAGTTTCTCAAGGTCCACATATGAGTGGAAACATATGATATCTGTCTTTTTCTGCCTGGTTTATTTCACTTAGCATAATACCCTCCAGTTCCATCCACGTTGCTACAAATGGCCAGATTTCATTCTTTCTCGTTGCCAGGTAGTATTCCATTGTGTATATAAACCACATCTTCTTTATCCACTTATCAGTTGATGGACATTTGGGCTCTTTCCACAATTTGGCTATTGTTGCATGTGCCCCGAGGAATATTCACATTTTAGAGGTTATAGAGGTATGTTTAAGACTCCTCTCTGCAACATATTTCCAGAATTGGATCTTAAGTGTCATTAAGCATTCATTTAAAAGATGTAGAAACCTTACTGTGTTGCATCAGTTAGAAATAACTTATAAAGGATCCTTCGGCTTTGGGCATTCTGTTTTTAGTTCTAAAATATTTAAATAACACCAAAAATAGATGAAGAGGCCCATCGATTTTGTTTTTGTTGCTTAGATTCTTTAATTCAAGACATTTTACATAATCTAAACTGTGATTTTTATTTAGACTACCACGTGATCAGGAACAACTCCCAAACCACAGTTCGGTGTTGATCATTCTGTATCTGTTGCCCAACGGGATGTAGCCATAAAGTAATGGGACGCTTTTCCCAAAGACAGATTCTTGGAGTTATGGATCCAGGAGGCCCTTGTCCCCTTCAAAGCAGTCACCTAGGAAGACTACACGTTTGTGCCAATAATGCTGCCATAGCTCCACATGCTGTGGAATGCCTCTTTTTAAACTATCTCTGAACTGCTAAGGAATAACAGTAACACGACATGTTATTTTGAATATCCTGAATTGTGACAGAGGTGAATTTGCTTTTTAGTGAGTAATCAGAAATCATCCCAGGACCTCTGGCAATCACTACAATTTGGAGCGTTATCTGCAGTCACAATTGGATGTAAAATCACAAGATGGGCTTTCTTGAACGATGCATAAACTAACTCTTGAACTCGATCGTGAAAGGAATTCCAGAGCCTTGGACCTCGGAATAAGTGTAAACGCTCCCACGATAGCTACTATGAAGAATAATACACGTGTAGGTTAAGGGGGAAAAGTGTGTGTGTATGTTTGCAAAATAAGGTCATTTTTATTACTTTAGTTAAGCTTTCGAACCAGGACAGAAAATAAAATCTAAGCCGAAGGTTATTAATGGTGCCATTTTGTTTTAAGGTCTTTCTTGTTGCATTGGTAACAGACACATCCTTTCCTTCTAAAGATGGGACCCTGCTATCAAACATCAAGTTACAAGAGAAGTCTCTGAGATTTTTTTAAAAAAGGAACACTTTACACTTTGGGGTTCCCACTATGCTTTTTATTTCTGTTAAAGAAAGCTTTAAAGAAAGAGTTCAGCCAAGCAGCTGGACCAAGTTTCTGTCATGTCGCCTCCCCGGGGAACTTTTGGACTGGCCATGGGGGTGGAGCTGATCTGCCCTCCGTCACCAAATTTCCAAATTTATCCCACCACATCCGTCATCTGCAGGCCAGCCAGGCCCCAATTTCTTCACTGCTCAGTTGAAATAATAATGAAAAGTAAAACGAAGCACAGAAGGCAGAGAGAAATTGTCATCCTTTGCAAAGAGGCCAAGGCAGACAGCTAAATTGTGACACAGTTGAAAACTGTTCAGATTCGACAAGTTTGATTGGAAAATTAGGTGACCCGTGTAGTTAGAGATCAAAATGGTCACTGGTTTACAGTTTTAAAAAGTCCTACCGTGGCGTTTTTGCCTCAGAGTGATAGAAGGTTATTTTATTCTACCTGTTAATAACTGTTGCCCACATGACTATTGTTTTGCAGTTTGGTGATTTAAATGCTGTATCTCCTGGAAATCTGGATAAAGGTAAGAAGTGAAAATAATGTCAAGGACTTTTTCTGACTGGGAAATTCTCAGAGAAAACTGTGGTGTGTGTGGAAACGACACACAACCCTAGATGAATATGACCGCCATGTGTTTTGGAATCTGCGGTCTTTCTCCATTTCTATACCTTCTTTATGTCGGGGCTGTTAAGTGCCGGAATTGAATGTAAATGCAGTCACAAACTCGTCTTGACTTTGGCCTTCCGTTCAGCACAGGTAGCGAGAAATTATTTCTGACCGTTGCCAGAGTCCTGGAGAAAAGTGATAAAATTTTATTCCAGGCCCACTCAGCAGGAGAAAAGATTTCTCAGCCCGCCCCTTCTCACCAGTTCATTCTTTTCACTGGAAAAAACAAGTCAGAGACAGCAGTGATGTTTACGGTAAAAAGCGAGATCAGTAGTGGGGCAGAGGAGAGGGTTCAGATGCGTAGTCTCTAGATTTTCAAACCACCTTTGCTACTCAACAGAGACAACATTGCAACTCAGCTATGTATTCCTGAAAAAACTTGGGACCTTCCAGACCGCACAGAAAAAAGGAATAGGGCTCAGGGAAAATGAGGTAGGGATAGATAGAGCCCATGCAAGCAAAAGCCATCCTAATAAAAATACCAGCTCAGGGGCGCCTGGGGGGCTCAGTTGGTTAAGCGGCTGACTCTCGATCTCGGCTCAGGTCGTGATCTCACGGTTGGTGGGTTCGAGCCCCGCATCCGGCTCTGTGCTGATGGCGCGGAGCCTGCTTGGGATTCTGCCTCTCCTTCTCTCTGCCCCTCCCCTGCTTGTGCACGTGCTTGCCCTCTCTCAAAAATATACTAGCTCAGTTAAAAAAAAAACCAAAACTGTAAAATGTTTACTAGATAAGCACAGTAGAAAATACAGTCCTTTCTTCGATAAAACAAAAAACGAAAAGTGAAGGTATCCTGAGGTTTCCAGGAACTGAGTTCTAGAGTCAAGGACAAAATGCACAGGCAGGGGGATACTGAACAATAGCCCTTCCAGGACAGAGCCAGAGCTGGTGGGGAAACTGAGGCAAGAGGTGGGGCTCGGGGAATCCATACGCGAAGGACAGCACTCTTCTCTGGAGCGTTCTGCACCAGGGTCTTTGTTGGGTCTGGGCCTCCTCCGCCCAGGCGGGAGTTGAAACCCGTGTCCGACCTGAGGGAACCCTGAGGATGCCCCGAGCCAGGTCTTGTGACCCACGCGCGAGCGTTTTTGTCGCCGGTGCAGAAGCGTGGACGGTGTTCCTCCTTGGCCACTAAATGGCCGCCAGCCTTCTCTGTCAAGTGCTGAACTGAGACAAAGTCCTCACTGAACTTCAGTAGTCCCTAACGTTAGTTTCTGTGCACCAAACTCCTGTAACCTTGAGGGTGTTTCTAGGACATGTCTTTGAGTCTGTACAAGAGTAGAGAATGGCTACGGACTTGCCTCCATTTGCCCTCACAATTGGAGAAAGGGCTTGCTTTTCGTGGACCGCCTTGTAGCGTTTCCCTGGGAACCCCGTCGCCCACAAGTGGGCCTAGAGAGAAATGGCCTCGGAGACTTAGGGGAGTTCAGGCCATTATCCCATCGTCGGTTCCATGCACCACGTGGCCGATGGAAGGGCCTTCTCCACTCTCTTTTCTCCCCTACCAGCTCAAAATGACTTCTTTCCTTTCAATGCTGCCTCTTTTATTATCTCGATACTATTTCTCAGGCAGAGAAAAGTTGGTGGAGAGGGAGTCGGGAAGCAGTGTGATTTATCCTCACCTTGGGGTGGCCCCGGTGGTCCCATCCACCCCCGGACCCCGTGCTTCTTGGGATCTGGCCACACTGGCATGAGTCGGGGCCTGGGTTTCGAATGTGAAATCTCCAAGCGTTTTTGTGGCCTTTTTCCACAATTTTTTTTTCCCTGATAATAAAAGTAATTCTAGCTCTATATAAAAATTTCAAATAATACGGAGATGTAGGAACTATAAAAAGTGAATCTTCGTGGTCACAACCCTGAAAGACCAGTAAGAACTGAGTGTGAGTATCCTTTGAGATGTTTTTGTTTGTTTGTTTATATATAAGCAAATACAAAACCAAAACGCAAATGTGTCGTACAAATGTGATCAATGATACCCTCTTCAGGAAGCAACTGCCTACCAAACGCATCCCTTTCCCTGCAGCCCACTAGCCCTTTGAAGGTGCCTGTTCCAACAAATTCTGTTATTATCGAATCCGTTTCCCAGAGGCACAAAGAGAGTGGGATAAAGCAGACGAACCAAGACAACCCAGGTCTCATCTAAGAGCACTTCTGTGTTCACCTCTTAGCGATGCGTTACGTCCTGTCTAGTCAGTAAATCTCATCTCAGTCTTTTATATATATATATAAATAATATATATAAATATATATAAATATATTTAAATATATATAAATATATTTAAATATATATAAATATAAATATATATAAATAATATATATAAAATATATAT